TCAAAAAAAAAAAAAAAAAAGAGAAGCTCAAAGAAACAACAGCTTCTGAGAAAACAAATGAGCACTGAACAACATGTCTCTCAAGACTATGGCTTAACAATTCAGTTTACCAAATATGGAATTGCAAAATAAAAAAATTAGATAAAAATAAAAATTAAAAATGATAAAAAAAAAATATGGGGATGCAAAGTTATTTTACTCTTGAAAATACAACTGGCTCAGAGAAAACAAAACATTTAATGAGACATAAAATTTAGATCTGGTTTTCAAATAAAGCAAAACAAAATTTGATTTACTTGAAGAAATACAGTTACAGTTTTCTGTCTACTATATTATATTGTATTAAGAAAGATGGCAGTCGGGCACAGTGGCTCGCGCCTGTAATCCCAGCACTTTGGGAGGCCAAGGGGAGCAGATCACCTGAGGTCGGGAGTTCAAGACCAGCCTGGCCAACATGGAGAAACCCCGTCTCTACTAAAAATACAACAATTAGCCAGGTGTGGTAGCGCATGCCTGTAATCCCAGCTACTCAGGAGGCTGGGACAGGAGAATCACTTGAACCTGGGAGGTGGAGGCTGTGGTGAACCGAGATTGCGCCACTGCACTCCAGCCTAGCAGACAGGGTGAGACTCTGCCACTGCACTCCAGCCTAGCAGACAGGGTGAGACTCTGCCTCAAAAAAAAAAGACAAAAAAAAAAGAAAGATAGCAAGATGGAAAATGAGAAAATAAACAGGAAACAAAAACAAACATGCAGGTGGACAGTGAGAAAAAACACCTCGATTTCTGAAGAGACCGTGAGCAAGATGGCGCTTGGGAGACAGAAGGCTGGGGGCTGGGGTTAGGAGGAGGACACGGAGAGGTGTGGAGACACATGTAGATTATTACCAGAAAAATCTCATGTTCCTAATACCTAAATCTATCAGTGTGAGCCAAAATAAGTGAAATAAAGACATCTTGACAAGGACAGCTTACAATCAAATACAACGTTTATAATATATCAAGAGCTCAACGACTGTGCAGGGTTAGGGATCAGCACTGTTTATATAAAACACTAGAAGCCACCAAATGAATCACGGCACATCTAGAAGAATCAGTACTTGATAACTAGATACTTATTACCAATTTTATAATTATGTCTACCCATTCACACACACATTCATGTATATATACACATACATATTTTGAAATGGAAATATGCCCATGGTAACTAAAGATATGACTACAGCATGTTTAAAAATACGTGTAGTGGACATAGGGAAAAAATGTATAATACTAAATTATTTATAAAACCTAACTTTATGATTTTCTATATTTTCAGAATTTTATTTGTAATGACAATCTAATGATTTTATAATGAACAATAAAGAAAGCTATGTGGAAATCTTTTCATGGGTGAAATGGGCAGGAATGACTCCCTCTTCTCCTCTGACCTATCTCCACTCTCAGGTGAATCGCACCTGGGAACCTCGCAGCTACTGAAGCCATCTGTGCGCTCACCTATTGCAGTCTCTCCAGGGGAGGCAGCAGAGGTTAGGTGTAACTGGACAGTCATTTAGGGAAGCACAAAGGAAAGAAACAACACTGATGCACATGGATTGAGGCTACTTCAAAACATCAAAGCTATTCTCCTAAGGCTGTTTCTGCCCCTCAGGAGACAAAACTCCTTAAGACATGGACTCCAGCGGCGCTGGGCTTCTGCCACACTGCAGCCCGTGAAGTAGTTTTTCTCCCACTTCTCCTCTGCCAGCTTTGCTCTTCTGTGACTGGTTTCCATTCTTCATACAGAACCTAGTTTCTACCCAATTCCATCCTGCCCCTACTTGCTCCACATGGAATGCTGGGATGCGGCATTATACCCTGTCATGTGTTCCTTGTTCCGCTCCTCCTGGAAGTAAGAATTTACCTCTTCCAATTTATAGAATTCAGGTTATTTGGAGCCAAGGGAGAGCAAAGTGGGTGGGGGAGGCGGTTTGTGGATATCTTTGGTGGTGTAATTGGAAAGCAATCTGCAGACACAGGGCTTCCCCACAAGCAAAGCTGTGCTAGGATCAAAAGAGTCACAGGGACTATCCACAGGGTTGAGTTAAATCAATGGCTCAGCAAACAGGTTTCTATCTAAATATTGAGCCTGCAAATACAAGACAGCAGCATGGAAACAGGCTTACTGTAACATTACCAATAATGTGTATGTGAAACGTTATTACTGATAAAGAGAATAAAATAACATTGGTTTGGGTAAATTTTATAAGCCTAATTTAATATATATTTAAAGTGAAGCCCACATTGGGCTACTGACACCCACAACAAAGAGAAGCAGGCCTGAGGGATGCACCCCCTGATAGAAACAACCCGCATCTACGCCTCGGCCTGCCAGGGGATCTGAGCAGAGTCGTCCAGAGCCTTCAGATCCTACCAATTCTCAGGCAGGACAGAGGATGGAGGTGGCCAGACTGCTCTGTGAACACGCCCACGCAGGATCAGACCAAGGCACCCCCAGGACAGATGGCCCAGTTCTTTCATAGATACATTTTAAGACAAAAAGGAGTGGGGAGTCAGGGGAAGGAGCCTGCCAATTACAGACTTTCAAAGGCTATGGGGAAAAAAAGAAGGGGGCAATGCAGAGTTACTGTTTAATGGGTAGAGTTTCTGTTTTGGTTGAGGAAAAAATTTTAAAGTACATAGTGGTAATGGTTATAAACACTACGAATATAATTAATGTTAATGAAATATACACTTAAAATTGTTAAAATGGTAAGCTTTATGTTATATATACTTTACCATAATTTTAAAAAAATGTAATATATCGGCCGGGCGCGGTGGCTCAAGCCTGTAATCCCAGCACTTTGGGAGGCCGAGACGGGCGGATCACGAGGTCAGGAGATCGAGACCATCCTGGCTAACACAATGAAACCCCGTCTCTACTAAAAATACAAAAACATTAGCCGGGCGTGGTGGCGGCGCCTGTAGTCCCAGCTACTTGGGAGGCTGAGGCAGGAGAATGGCGGGAACCCGGGAGGCGGAGCTTGCAGTGAGCCGAGATCGCGCCACTGCACTCCAGCCTGGGCGACAGAGCGAGACTCTGCCTCAAAAAAAAAAAAAAAAAAAAAGTAATATATCAAAAGCCATTGAATTGTACATTTTAGGTGGATGAATTGTACAATATGTATTTCATGATACAGAAGCTTTCGGGGTGTTTGTATGTAATCAGTAGCAAAATTTTTATGAATTGTTAAATGTATATCTGTACACTAGCAATGCAAATCTGAATTATCTTGAATTAGTCTCAGGCTGACAAGGGAGTCAGGTGCAGAGCACAAAGGCATGGCGTGTCCTGGCGTCATCAGTGCTGCTCAGAGAACACGCTGGTTGGTCTCACTCTGTCCCTGTCTGTGTTTATCCTTCTCCCTCAACTGTCTCTGGGTCTCGAAAGTGAGAAGTGAGACTGCAGCTTGAGCCCCAGCATCCACACTGGAGACATGGCTCACGGTTGGAGTATGACCATTAATACCCAGTGACCAAACAGAAAATCCAGAACTAGGACACAGAAAAAGATGGGAGTTTTATGATGCACTTCAGGTTTCAGTCACCCACCCACAGTCTGACAGGCTGACGAAACTCACTGGCTTACCACTAAAATTTTTTTTTAAGGTAGATACCTGGAATCTTGTTTTTAGAGCCCCTCTCCCAAGATGCATGTCTTCTCATGAAAAGTGCTTTTGATAAATCTGAACGTCATAACCAGGAACAAAGTCTGCTCCACATTCCAGATTCACCACTGTGAATCCTCTTCCGATACCTTTTATTCTGCAAGGGTCACATTAAGGACTTTCCAATCTTGATACACAGTGGCCACAGAAGGGAAGGAATGGCTAAGAAGCAGGTCGGGGCACAGGGAACACTGGAAGGGTCTGCGGCCCACCTGCCAGCTGGCCACACCCCCCATAACACCTTGTTCTGTTCTTGTTTTTTTTTTTTTTTTCTGTTTTGTTGAGATGGAGTCTCGCTCTGTCTGTCCCCCATGCTGGATGGAGTGCAGTGGCATGATCTCGGCTCACTGCAACCTCCGCTCTCGGGTTCATGCCATTCTCCTGCCTCAGCCTCGCGAGTAGCTGGGACTAGAGGTGGACGCCACCACACCTGGCTAATTTTTGTATTTTTAGTAGAGACGGGGTTTCACCGTGTTAGCCAGGATGGTCCCAATCTCCTGACCTCGTGATCTGCCCCCGTCAACCTCCCAAAGTGCTGGAATTACAGGCATGAGCCACTGCGCCTGGCCCTTTTTTTTCGCTTTTTAACAGATGGGGTCTTGCTGTTACCCAGTCTGGTCTCTAGCTCCTAGGCTTAAGCAATCCTCCTGCCTCAGCCTCCCAAGTAGCCGGGACTAGAAGCATGAGCCACCACGCGCAGCTTCTGATCTTTTTGTCCTCAATTCTCTTTTACTTAACTGCTTTCTCTAGAAGTAAGGTTATGAAGTGGAGATGGTCAGGACCCCTTGAAGCAAATTTGTGAATACAGGAAACAAAGACTGGGTCAATAATCGGATTTTGGTTTTGTTGTTGTTTTGTTTTGTTTTTTTGTTTTTGAGATGGAATCTCGCTCTGTGGCTCAGGCTGGAGTGCAGTGACACAATCTCGGCTCACTGCAAGCTCCGCCTCCCGGGTTCACACCATTCTTCTGCCTCAGCCTCCCAAGTAGCTGGGACCACAGGTGCGTGCCACTATACCCGGCTAATTTTTTGTATTTTTAGTAGAGATGGGGTTTGACCATGTCAGCCAGGATGGTCTTAATCTCCTGACCTTGTGATCCGCTCGGCTCGGCCAGGATCACAGGGATTACAAAGTGCAGGGATTACAGGTGTGAAGCACTGTGCCCAGCCTAATACACGGATTTTAAGAGAAAAAAGGCAGATTGGGTGTAGTGGCTCATACCTGTAATCCTAGCACTTTGGGAGGCTGAGGCAGGTGGATCGCTTGAGGTCAGGAGTTCAAGACCAGCCTGGCCAACATGGTGAAACCCCGTCTCTATTAAAAATACAAAAATTAGCCAGGCGTGGTGGTGCAAGCTTGTAATCCCAATCCCGGCTACTTGGGAGGCTGAGGCAGGAGAATCGCTTGAACCTGGGAGGTGGAGGTTGCAGTGAGCTGAGATCGTGCCACTGCACTCCAGCCTTGGTGACACAGCAAGACACTGTCTCAAAAACAAAATAAATAAAATAAAATAGCAATAACTGGCGTAGTCAACAGAACAATTTATTCCCTTGCTTTGTGAAGCTAACAGTTTTTTTTTCCCCGGAGACAGCATCTTACTCTGTCGCCCAGGCTACAGTGCAGTGGTGCACGCTCGCCTCACTGCAACCTCTGCCTCTGGGGTTCAAGCAATTCTTCTGCCTCAGCCTTCTGCGCAGCCAGGATCACAGGTGTGTGCCACCACACCCGGCTAATTTTTATATTTTTAGTAGAAACAGGGTATTACCATGTTGGCCAGGCTGGTCTCAAACTCCTGACCTCAGGTGATCCACCCACGTAAGGCCTCCCAAAGTGTTGGAATTACAGGCATGAGCCACCACACTTGGCCCCTAAGTATGTATTAATGTGGTCAAATGTAGATGGCTGCTGTCACGATGGGTCTGTATTATGGGAATGTGCTCACGTGATAAATAGAACAAAACACCAAAGAACAAAATCACCAAACTGCAGACCTGTGGTAGCTCATGCATGACTCAGTGCAGGGAACAGTGTTCTGCTGTTCAATTTTTGTAATTTTTGCTGCTAATTTTTGTATTTTTAATAGAGACAGGGTTTCACCATGTTGGCCAGGCTGGTCTTGACCTCAGCGTTCTGCTGAGTGACATCACATCGGAGGAACACGCCTCCTAACTGAACATGGTACCACAGGGCAAACACATGACCCCGAGCAGATACCCCATGAGTGACTGCTGCACCTGCACCCCTTTCTCAGTGAAAGCACAAAACCCAGCCAGCCTCCCTAGCGTGAAGAAGCCATTTGGAGGCGCTACACAAGGAGACAAAACAACAGAGCCCCGGGTAGCAAGGGAATGTGTAGGAGACACCAAGCTGTATCCAGGGGGCCTTAGGCACCCTCAGACTTGGGCCTCTTCCCTCCTCCATTTCCCCTGCATGTCCAAGAGCCATAGCATGAACCACATCACAGGTGCCCGGCCAAGGATGGGTCTTGTCAAGGAAAAGTGCTATATTTACTGTAGCTTTTCTGTATGAGGAATTTATGGTGTTAAATCTTAGTAGCATTTAAAAGTTTAATTGTATTACTTCTCGGGTTTTGAGTTTTTGGCCCAAACTATCTTTTTCTCTAAGCCCTGTTATTTTTCCTGCAAGAACTTTCATACTTGATGGTACTCAGGTACACCAGCCAGGAGAAAAGACTGTGCTGTCACACCACAAAGACGTATACGGGTTAAGGCCAAATACCTGATTTGTGACACCAGTGCGGGCAAGTTGCTCTGAAGAAGTGGCTCTGAAAAGACCAGATTTTCAAACAGGTGTTTATTATGCAGTTCCCACGTCACTTGGAACTTTTTCAAGTGTTCATTTTCCTAGTTTAGAAAAAGAAAAAGATAAACAGAATATGTAGTGAATTGCTAAAGACTTGAAAATTCCCAAAGGGATTCCCTCCCCGCTCTCCCTCTCCCCACACCACACACACATCCCTCTTTACAGGCTCAGAGCGTTCAGCTTATGGTAAGTGCTGTTCCCTGTATGTCCCAAGGCACACAGTGGATCAGAACTCCGACTACAAGGACATGTAGTCAGTCTAGATGGCAAGTTTAGAAGGGCCGCAAAGACAGGGGTGACAGGTGTACACAGAGACAAAGCAGTAACCGAACGTTTGAAAGTCATTTCTCACAATTATACTTTTAAATTGTAATCATAGCCCTTACAGTTCAGACAGTTTAGATACATCAAGTCTCTCAATGCCAAAGGATAATAATTTTCTTACCTATTTGGAGAAACCTTCCATTCTAATTAATACACACAATTTCTCCACTTGCAAGACCCTATTAGAGGTAAAGTTTTTTTTGTCTTCCTAATAAACATAGGCAAACTCGTCAATTACTTTAGCCAATACCATGAAAACCTAGAAGTGTCCCAGTCATCATAGAGAGTCATGTCAACAGAAATGTACAGCAAGCCCCCAACACAAGACCACTGAGGTTGATGCCATTATTACCTTTCCTAAATGTAATGGTCACATTTAATAAGTCTTGCTACAACCATGCGTGTGTGAATCCATGCTTCCCTCTGTCAACTACACGGACACTATTTGTGTTCAGATCACGTTACATCTCTGGGTGAATGTTCCTGACTTCAACAACCGCCAGCTCTGGAAGCTGCACTTCATCATGCTTGGCTACTCCACGTCTCCTGAGTCGGGTCACTCACAGGGACTGGGTTTAGAGGTCTGCTCCTGTTTACAATATAGCCAAGCTGAGTTGATGGAGACCTTAGCAAATGAACGACACAAAGATTTCATTGTTATGTCACCTGATAACCCTAGTTGGTATGGGGGCTGAGAGAACAAATTATAATGATTAACTTCTGTTCTTCAAAGTAAACACCTATAAACACATTTGGAGACAGCACACCAGTGATACTGCTAGACCACTGTGTGCTAGCCTTGCTGGTTATAGCTCTGTTTTCATACCTGGAAACACAAGGATTGAGAGATTCAGCAATGAATCTATGCCATCTGTAGAAAACCTCAAATCTTCCATTTTGTTAACATTTCCAACACTTTTCCTCATCGTGTTTTCACCAGTGCCTCCCAGATTGAAACATCATCACTCCTGTTTCACACCAAGCATATCTCAGAGCAAGCACATTCGGTACAGGAAAAATGCATGTCGCAGGAGACTGGGGCCAGGTAACTGATAACCAGCCCCAGGCTGGAACCCACAAATGTGCTCGTAATAATGAAGCAGGTGAAGTGCCAAGCCCATGCTGCCCAGGCCCTGTGCCAGGTACGAGGATACAAAGACTACCTCCTGCTAAAGTAGTCTGCTGCTCTCCAGGGGTTCCCGGAGAACAGAACAGTAGGCAGTGACCTGACTTACGATTCAGCTACAGGACAAAGAGGACATGGGAATGAATGCAGCACCCGGATCAGACCAGGCTGGCAACCAGCTGATGGAGGGGCCTCCTGGAAGAGCTGAGGCTTTGCCTGGCCTCCATTGGAAACCTCTAGGATAGCCATTTCCACCTGCCTGCCTATGAGTGGAATCACAAATCTGGCTTTCTGGGCCAGCTGCTAGTGGTCACTGGGTAAAGGCCGATTTATAAAGATGTTCAGCATTTTTAATAAAATCTAAAATTACACCTCTAGGTGAGGCATGCAAGACAAACAGATATCAGACTCACTTCACAAACTGAAATCAACTTGGAGTTTACTTAAGTAACACATGCTAACACCTGAGTGTCTAGCATGGCCAGGCACTGTCCTCAGCGCTGAATTCAGTGCCTCCAGTAAGCTCCCTGTGAATTTGGTACTCCCCTGCCATGCCCCATCGACAGGTGTAGAACCAGCATAGAGGGGCTCAAATAACTGGACCGGGGCATGCAGGCATGGGCTCTGCAGGATATGTTGTTACAGCTCCTACGAGAGGTAAGGCCTATGGAAGAACTCCTGAGCTACAGGCAGAAAGGCTTGTCAGTGACCTAAGGGCAGGCTTTGCAGACTGTTCTCGATTCCCACTACAAAAAAAGGCTTGGGGGTTTGGAAGAAGGAAGACAAGATGTTTAGAATGCAGTTCCTACAACAGACAGAAATAACGGGATATTTGAATATTTCTTATTTGTGGATGAAAATTTAGACTTCACTATTACAGCCTGGTGAGGCGTTTGCTAGACGACTAGAAGCATAACTTAAGCCTCGTGCCAATTTTATTATTTTTTTTTAGATTTCTTAAAAAAAAAAAAATTGAGTGATTGGTCGATTGATTGAGACAGGGTCTCGCTCTGTCGCACAGGCTGGAGTGCAGTGGTGCGATCTTGGCTCACTGCAACCTCCGCCTCCCGGGCTCAAGCAATCCTCTTACCTCATCCTCCTGAGTAGCTGGGACTACAGGTGTGCACTACCATGCTCAGCTAAGTTTTATATCTTTTGTAGAGACGGGATCTCACCATGTTGCCTAGGCTGGTCTTGAACTCCTGGACTCAAGCACTCAAGTAATCCACCCACGATGGCCTCCCAAAGTGTTGAGATTACAGGTGTGGGCCACCATGCCCAGTCCCCCAATTTTATTTTAATATTTAAAGTACAAAAAATGTGACTCATTATCCAGTTTGATCCCCCAGGCAGTGTAGAATAAACCTCACATGAGGGCATTCTCCAGTGAAGTTGCATTTCTGAGAACATCTTTCTATGTCCAAAAGCATCCACTGAGTTCAGCAAAAACAGCAGAATGGGGATGCTGTTCACAGAGGAGCTAATTAGCTGGCAGAGTTTGTACAGCAAATTAACATGTTGCTTCAAAGAAAACAAGTGACACAATCTGTGGCTAATCATAAAATCTGAGCTTTCAAGCAAAAAAGAAAACTTCAGAAAATTTGCATTTGCTGCTGTTGGCTTGAAAGGTCCTATACACTTAAAGGCCTTTCTGATGAGATCAGCGGTGATACGAACAAATACCATTTTTTGATATTAATAAAAGTGTCAACATCCAGAAGATATTCAGTGAACCAATATTTGCAAAATGACCTATGAATGACACTAGAAAAACATGTATAAGTAGGGAGTCCATTCATGGAGTGAGCTGGAACCTGTGGACTTGAATGGAACAGAGTAGGGTAAGTTCAGTGATATAGTTTCAGACTCTACATCGCAACTAACCATTAAGAAACTCTCACGCATTGGTGTACTCTCAGAGAAATCTACCAGGATTTGAAGAGGCTATTAAAATATTCTTCCTGGCAGGGCGCGGTGGCTCACAGCTGTAATCCCAGCACTTTGGGAGGCTAAGACAGACGAATCACGAGGTCAGGAGATCAAGACCATCCTGGCTAGCACAGTGAAACCCTGTCTCTACTAAAAATACAAAAAATTAGCCTGATGTGGTGGCACCCACCTGTAGTCCCAGCTCCTCGGGAGGCTGAGGCAGGAGAATCACTTGAATCCAGGAAGCAGAGGTTGCAGTGAGCCGAGATCACAAGAGACAGAGCGAGATTTTTTTTGAGACGGAGCAAGACTCCATCTCAAAAAAAAAAAAAAAGAAAAATTATTCTTCCTTTTTCCAACTACATATCTGTAAAAAGTTGAATTTTCTTCAGTAACTTCAACCAGACAACCTATGACAACAGACTGAATGCAGAAGATGAAGCTCCCACTGCTTCTACAGAGAGATCTAAGAGGTGTGAGTGACCCACTCTTCTTAAGAAATGTGTTGGCCGGGTGCGGTGGCTCATGCCTGTAATCCCAGCACTTTGGGAGTCCAAGGCGGGCAGATCACCTGAGGTCAGGAGTTCGAGACCAGACTGGCCAACATGGTGGAATCCCGTCTCTACTAAAAAAAATACAAAAAAATTAGCCAGGTGTGGTGGCGGGCACCTACAATCCCAGCTACTTGGGAGGCTGAGGCAGGAGAATCACTTGAACCCGGGAGGCAGAGGTTTCAGTGAGCCAAGATCACACCATTGCATTCCAACCTGGGCAACAATGTTTTATTCTGGAAAACAGTTATTTTTACATGTGTAGTTTATGTTACATTATCTAATATAAAAGTGTATTGCTTGTTACATTCTCTAATATATGTGAAATATGCAATTTATGTAATCTAATGAGAGCTTACATTTTTAAAATGACAATAAGCATTTAAAAAATTTCTCAGTTTGAATTTCCATAAAGCAAGTACTGATATAAGTCTGCATAAAAAAGCACACTTCAGGGTCCTAAATTTTTAAGTATTAAGGGGCCTGAGTCCAAAACTGTTGAGAATTACTGCCCTGAGACACTGAGTTTATCTTAAGCTGGTACTGCATAGATCACTGGATGGCAGTGTAGTAATGTGGCTATAAATGTGTGAAGATTTTTGGGTCCTGACTGGAATAACCCAACCATAAAGAGATTGGCTGGCACTAGTCGGTAAGAAATTACTGTCAGTCTTCATGGATGTGACAATGGAACTGTGGCTACGTAAGATAATGGATGACTATTTTTAGAGACACTTATTGGAATATTCTAAGACAAAAAGGCACATTGTCTGGAACCCATATTAAAATACTGCATCAAAAAGAGGGTGGAAGAGAAAGTGGAAGAAAAAGAAGGCATAATGAAGTCAGAGTGGCAAAATGCTGATTAACTGTGGATCTGGGTAAGGAGTACATAGAGATTCGCTGTAGTCTCCACCCAGAATCCAGAATTCTACATTACAACATCTCGCAGACCATTTTCAATGAAGTTCTGTATTTTGTGTTTGAGATCACTTTTTCTTTGATGTTCTGTAGCTGTCACTATCCTATATCCAGAGAAGGCTTTTTCAACATTTTACTTGGGAAATCTGATAAGCTTCCTTGCTGAACACTAGTATTTTTCAGTAATTCTGAGAATTTCTCAGCTATCATCTCCACCCTTATTCTGCTTCTCTTTGGGGACTCTGATTACTGGTGGCTAGACATCTTCACTGCATCCTTCAGGTCTCAACCTCTCTTCCGTGGCCCATCTCTTTGTTTCTTTGAGTTACATTCTATAGAATTCCTGTACTTCCTTCTTGCAACTCACCAGTTCTCTTTTCAGCTGTTTATTCTGTTTCATCTATCCATTAAGCTTTTCCAGAAAATTATGTTTTTGTTTCTAGTTTTAATTTTTTCAAATCTGAATGATCCCTGCTGTCCCTTTCAGTGCCCGGAGTTTCCACTTCAACCTTACTGAGGGTGTTGTCACTTACAGTCCCAGCATTATGTGCAGACCCCATCCTGGGCTAGGTTGTATCTTGTCTCCGGGATCAGAAGAAATCCCCGCAGCAAATGCTGACTTTCAAGCCCATGTATATTTCTCAGGATTCCAGCTTTCAACTGGTTTTTCACCACTACAACTTATTCCCTTTCATGCCATCTCAGTTATACACTTTAAAACATTTCATCTTTGTTCTGAGAGAGAGTTTTGCTCTTGTTGCCCAGGCTGAAGTGCAGTGGCACAACCTCAGCTCACTGCAATCTCCACCTCCCAGGTTCAAGCGATTCTCCTGCCTTAGCCTCCCGAGTAGCTGGGATTATAGGCGCGTGCCACCATGCCTCACTAAGTTTTTGTATTTTTAGTGGAGATGGGATTTCATCATGTTGGCCAGGCTTGTCTCTAGCTCCTGACCTGAGGTAATCCAACCACCTCGGCCTCCCAAAATACTGGGATTACAGCCGTCAGCTACCACGCCCGGCTTATTTTTTAATTATCTAGTAAATTCAGTTGTTTCCCTTGAAGGAAGGAATAGTTAAGGCTATCTAGTCTGCTGGACCCCTAGAAATCAATGTGGATATTTCTATGTGTAAAGGAAGTGAAAAAAGACACTGATCAAACAGCTTCAAAGTATATGCATTTTTTTCAAGCCACAAGAAATTCTTTTTTTTTTCTTTTGTTTTGTTTTGTTGTGTGTGTGAGACAGTCTCGCTCTGTTACCCCGACTGGAGTACAGTGGCACGATCCTGGCTCAATGCAACCTCTGCCTCCCTGGTTCAAGCGATTCTCCTGCCTCAGCCTCCCAAGTAGCTGGGACTACAGGTGCCTGCCACTATGCCCGGCTAGTTTTTGTATTTTTAGTAGAGATGGGGTTTCATCATATTGGCCAGGCTGGTCTCGAACTCCTGACCTCAGGTGATGCGCCCGCTTCGGACTCCCAAAGTGCTGGAATTACAGGTGTGAGCCACTGCACCCGGCCTCAAGCCACAATAAATTATTTCTATGTAAACTGCTAGGAATTTGCTCTAATAATCAAATTAATTTTTGTCAGCTTCATAAAACAGTGTCCTACAGTAACTATGTGAGGAGGCACAGACCTCCCCAGCACTTTCTGGAGAGCAGCAGCAGCTCTCTTCACTACCAGAGTCTCTCTGGGCACCAGGTTTAGGTGGGCTGGACAGCATCCTTCTTAACCTGAGCCAATGTTCTTGTAAAAGACAGAGGAGGGGCTCTGGATTTGAACCTCTGAAGGGCGGGCAGACTCTCAGGTAGAGATGGGGAGGCAGTGCTGCGAGAGATGCCAGAGGAAGGAAGAGGTACCAGAAGGAAGCCTGGTGGCACTACCCAGTGGACTCAGACCTTGAAACAGGATAACTGCCCCTCACCCCGCCCCCACCCCTCACCCTACCCTTTCACCTCGCTACCTCTTCTCAGAATAGATACCTCCCCATGGCTTGGTGCAGTGAAGCTTGAGGAAGGCTGTGAACCCCCTGAAACGACTTACAATTATATGTATGTAATTTTTTCTTTTCTTTTTGAGATAGGATCTCACTCTCTTGCCCAGGCTGGAGTGCACTGGCTTACCACAGCCTCAACCCTGAGCTCAAATGATCCTCTTGCCTCACAGCCTCTTGAGTAGCATGCATCATCACGCCTGGTTAATTTAATTTTAAATTTTTTTGGTATAGATGGGGTCTCCCCATGTTGCCCAGGCTGGTCTCAAGTTCTTGGGCTCAAGCGATCCTCCCACTTTTGGCTTCCCAAAATCCCAAAATTACAGGTATGAGCCACTATGCCCGGGCTATATGTAAATTTTTCCAAGAGGGTCCATCAACTTGAGAATCAGATAAAGACCAATGCCGGTGCTTACTATATTTGTTTCAAAATGTAGTTTTACCACTAAGAAAGCACCCAAAACTAGATGCTCAGCCCTCTCACCATGTGATGCCCTGTACCACCTCTGGACTCTTCAGAGTCCAAGTCCCCACCTGCAAGAAGGCTCTACCTATCTACATGGGTAGGTGTGGCCCCTCAAACTTGGACTTCTCAGCCTTCCGAACCATAATAAATAAATTCCTTTCTTTATTTAAAGAAAGCAAGCACCTAAAACTAGCACCCAAATACACGTAAGTATTATTTAATAATAAAGTTTAAATGATGATGAAAAACTCCACAGACGAATAGTAACAGTCAAGGAAGCTTTGAGGGCTTATCTCTGGGACGCATGGTCTCCTTCCAAACCACGGGGGCACTGAGGCTGTTGAGAATTGACCACAGCGTACCCGTAACCATATTTCTATACCATGCTCCTTCCACCCAATATGGTGATTCCTCTTTTGAGGGGGCCAGACCCATCTGTGTGTCTCTCTTGTTACAACTGCCAGATCCCCATTGGCAAGGATGGGGACAGGGCCTGTCTTGAGACTGCAAGCAGATCCTTAACTCAGTGCTGGCTTATTGGGTGAATGCATGCATGCATGAATGAATGAATGCCACTGGGCTGTAAACAAGTTGTTCTCTACAGCCTTCACGCTCTTCATGGGCATTTCACCTAATAACAGCTCTGTCTACAGCAACAAAAGAATGAACAACCTAAGTAGGACACTGGAGATTTCTCTGTCTCCTTATAAAGGCACACACACAGGTGCTCCCCTCAAACTGCCCCATGCCTCATTCCCTGGGCCTCAAGGTCCTCCAAACGGTACTTTCATGAGGTGACACCTGGTTATCAATCCACCCAATGCTCTTATCCAGTGGCAGAGTCCAGAGGAAAGACAAACAGGAGAGGAAACAGGTCCTCTCCCACAGAGGAGAGGGGCCTATGACAGTGTGTGGGGGTGCGACAGCGAGGTCAGCATATAAGCATGAGAAGCTTCCTCCTGCCACATGCTTCTCTTCTCTTCAGTTCATCCAAACAGAAAGAAAAACACACGTTTTCTCTCTTACCAGAGTGCCAAGGAAGGTGCTGATGGAGCGTGCAGCCTGGCAGAGGGCGCCGTACTCCTCAAGCAGGAGGGAGATGAACTGGTGCGCTTGTGGCGGACCCTGCAGGCCAGATGGTGCCTTCACCTTGGCCGCAGCCGACAGCTGCCGGAGCAGGCGGACCTTCATCTCTAGCACGTACTCTCGAGCTTGCTGTTCCAGACGCTGGTACAGCTGGTAGGGGTCCCTCTCGCAGAGCCTGCACAGAGAAGAGGGTCACCAGGGCCTGCCCACCAGGGCCCGTGGGTGCTGTGATGTCAGTGGGCATCTTTTCTGAAGCCCTTCAACAGGTGACCACCTCTGGATGATCACACAGTCATCTTCCTCATAACCACCTGTGAGAGGCATGATCACCCCACCTAATGGATGGAGAATCGGGGCACAGAGTGTCACCAGGGAACTAACAGGAAAAGTGACATTTATTGAGTTTCTCCTGTACAGCACAGTTCATGCACATGCACTAATTCAGTTTGCTGCGTGTAGGTTCAGTGCCTGCTTTACAGATGGGACATTTTGGCCCACACAGGTTGGGTGAGTTGCATGAACTCACACAGCTGGAAGAGCACGCTACCACCTCTCAGCAGCTGGCCTCAGACGAACACACTCAGACACGAGGCTGGGGACAACTCCGTTAAAGGCTTATATGTTAACAAGTAAAAAGCACTGATCCCAGTAGAGGTGCCACCTGGCTGCAGATCTGGGGCAGCCTGCTCTTTCCTTCTTTCTACAGGCTCAGTGTACAATCCAAATGGGTTTGTAATAGGCTTATCAAAAGAGGAAACTTTAGACACAATTTATCCTTTTTTAAAAATTATCCCACCAAAAAAGCAATAAAGGTGTGTAAAATAAAATTTGTAGGCTGAAGGCTGGGCACAGAGGCTCACACCTATAATCCCAGTACTTTGGGAGGCCGAGGCGGGCGGATCACAAGGTCAGGAGATCAAGACCATCCTGGCCAACACGGTGAAATCCTGTCTCTACTGAAAACAAACAAACAAACAAACAAAAAAACAAAAAATTAGCCGGGCATGGTGGCGGGCGATGGTCTCGATCTTGCCTCACAAAAGTGCTGGGATTACAGGTGTGACACCACGCCAGCCTCGCCTGGCCTCCTTTTTATATAACTTGAAAAAAATCTGTTTGTGAAATTTATCACATGTTATTTCCTTTAAATTTAAAATACAGAAATAACCCCCAAAAATTAAATAATAAATAAAAAGGGACGAAGTCCAACATGCCTTAGAGAACGTGACGTGGGTGTCCAGTCTGCTTCTGAGTTTGGTTGTCTTGTCAAAATTGAACTTTCTGTGGCTCTTCTAGCAGATGAAATACATTCTAATTTCAGAGGACAGTTTTTTATATAGTAGTGAAATAACAATTGTCATACTCAAAAATTAATGTCTATCTGAAAATGTAATAACCATAATAGGGAGATCCCATCCATCAAACTATATGTTTTAATCCACATTTTCCATAAGGCCTTCACATGTTCCATTGCAAGATTTTTCCTGGCACTTGTCTTTCACAACCTAGCTAGGTAGTATGGCAATTAAAAATAAGAACAGGTTACCAACTTCTTTCTTTGACATAATATGGTAGTAGAGGTGAAAGGATTTTACTATTACAATCCAAGGACTGAGTATAAATACATTTTACACTCAATTTTATTAGAGTCGATGAACTCCAAACTGGTTTCTCTGGTGATGGGTTGGTGGGATGGAATTTTTGTTATTTACATCAACCGTTTTAGGTTTCCCATCTAGAGCTTCCTGGATTAAAATACAAATTAAATTGAACCCATGCATATGCCAGGTACTGTAAATAAGGTTATTAAGATGTGGAATTATCATACAATATTTGTGTCAGTAAAAAAATGAATTATCCCCCAAAGTTTGGAGGAAATTCATGAAAATGTTCATTGCATTTTGTGGCTTAGTCATGGGACTGTATTATTTTTTCCTACCTTCAGCCCTACAAAGTTCTTTTTCTTTTTTTTTTTTTGAGACAGAGTCCCTCATTCTGGTGCCCAGCTGGAGTACGGTGGGCTATTCTCAGCTCACTGCAGCTCCGCCTCCTGGGTTCACACCATTCTCCTGCCCTTCAGCCCCCCCTGATAACTGGGAACTACCAGGTGCCT